GTTTGTGTGCCCCCCCCCCCTGGAGAGCATTAAAAACAGAAGTAATGGTTTGTTCCAACCCCGCAGAAATACAGAAAAGAAATATTTTTTTTTACCACCCCCTCTGAGGAGATCCTGAAACAAGGGTATTTTTGTCACCCACCCTTTGGAGGTGCATGAAAAGAAGATTTTTGGGTGCCATCCCTCGCGGAGGTGACTAACAACGAAAAGTTGTTTGTAACACCCCCCCTGAGAGGTGACTAAGAACAAAGATTTTTTGTCACACCCCCCCTGTGGAGGTGACTGAGAACGAGGAGTTGTGTGTCACACACCCTGTGGAGGTGACTGAGAACGGGGAGTTGTGTGAGACACACCCTGTGGAGGTGACTGAGAACGGGGAGTTGTGAGTGACGCGCACCTGCGGAGGTGACGTGTCATCTCAGCGTTGGGCCCAGTGCACACGCTCCTGGGCGTGTGTGTTGAGATGGACTGTGCCGTCTTCACAGTGATGAGATACCATAAACGTTGTAGTGCAGCTTTCCCTACTTCTCACTCGCTAGGCTATTTATTTATTTGAAAGACAGAGAGGGAGGGAAGGAGCGAGAGGTCTTCCGTTCTCTGAGTCACTCCTCACGTGGCCGCAACAGCCATTTGCCAGGGGCTCGGACCGGGGCTCCCAGCTGGGTGGCGGGGCCCGAGCTTGGGCCATCAGCTGCTGCCCCCCAGGCGCGTTGGCAGGAACAGGCTCTCCACAGTTGTGAAGAGGGCTGGGTGTGGTGCCGTGGCTACACTGGGACGCCGCATTCCCTGTCGGAGTGCCGGTTCAGATCCCAGCTGTGCAGTGCCCTGGGAGGCCACAGGTGACGGCCAAGCTGGAGCAGGGGGACCCCTGGCACGTGGAGACCGAGGCCGAGTTCTGGCCCAGCGCTGGCTGCTGCAGGCATTTTGGGGAGTGAACCAGTGGGTGGAAAATCCTTGTTTGCGTGTCACTGGCTTTTCCGTCGACGACGGGCTGGGGAGGTTCTGCTACAGAGCCGTGTGGTTATTTGCACATCGCCGCTGTGTGTGGTTTTGTCTGCCTTGAGCACATCTGAAGGTTGGCTTCCTCTAAATGGACCCATGGATGCTGGGCAGGCAGTGTGGTTTTTAACTACTGTTGTTGGTTGATTTTGCGGCAGAGAGGTGGGGTGAGAGAGTTCCCGTTTGCAGGTTCACTCCCTTGCTGGGGCTGACACCAGGAGCCGGTGTGCGGTCCGGGTGTCTCGTGAGTGTGGAAGGAGCCTAATTCCTGGAGGCGTCCCCACTGCCTCCTAGGTCGGCGCTGGTGGGAGTTGCGTCCAGGCACTCTGACGTGCGATGCAGGTGTGTGGCTGCTGGGTTGCGTGTCCACTCTGAGCAGTTTCCGCCTTAACCGACAGCGCTGACTCGCCGCCTTCGCAGGCCCTACAGCTGCGCTTCTGCTGCAGTGTGGAGCTCCTGCTCCCCGTCCCGAATCAGCCGCCACGTGTTTTTATTTTTTAATTTAATTTTTAAAAAATATTTATTTATTTGAAAGTGAGAGAGAGAGAGAGAGAGAGAGAGGTCTTCCATCTGCTAGTTCATTCCCCAGATGGCTGCAATGGCCAGGCCCAGGCCAGGCTGAGGCCAGGAGCCAGGAGCTTCATCTGGGTCTCCCATGGGAGTGGCAGGGGCCCACGCACCTGGGCCGACTTCCCCTGCCTTCCCAGGCCATTAGCAGGGAGCTGGATGGGAAGTGGAGCAGCCGGGACTCGAACCAGCGCCCCTGGGATGCTGGTGTCCCTGGTGGCGGCTTCTCCGCTGCGCCAAGGCGCCGGCCCCAGCCAGATGCTTTGACTCTGCCAGCCTTACCAGGGAAGGATCGGGTAGGTGATCTTTCTCAAATATTTTTCAGTTCAGATATGTGTTTTTTCCTTTGCATTGCCTGAGTGTGTCTAAAAGGTTGACTTTCAGAAGGTCACTTTTTTTTTTTTTAAAGATTTATTTATTTATCTGAGAGAGTTATAGAGAGAGAGAGGAAGAGACAGAGAGAGAGAGACTCTTCCATCCGCTGGTTCACTCCCCAAATGGCTGCAATGGCCAGGGCTGGGCCAGGTCGAAGCCAGGAGCTCCCTCCGGGTCTCCCGCATGGGTGTGGGGGCGAAAGCACTCGGGCCATCTGCTGCTGCTTTCCCAGGTGCATTGACAGGGAGATGGATCAGAAGTGGAGCAGCCGGGACTGGAACTGGTGCCCATGTGGGATGCGGGCGCTGCAGGTGGTGGCTTCACCGTCCACGCCGCAGCTCCGGCCCCTTGTTTTCACTTTTCATTTTTTTTTTTTTTTTTTTTTTTTTTTTTTTTCACACAGGCAGAGTGGACAGTGAGAGAGAGACAGAGAGAGAAAGGTCTTTCCTTTTGCCGTTGGTTCACCCTCCAATGGCCGCCGCTGCAGCCGGCGCACCGCGGCTGATCCTGGCAGGAGCCAGGAGCCAGGTGCTTTTTCCTGGTCTCCCATGGGGTGCAGGGCCCAAAGCACCTGGGCCATCCTTCACTGCACTCCCTGCCATAGCAGAGAGCTGGCCTGGAAGAGGGGCGACCGGGACAGAATCCGGCGCCCCAACCGGGACTAGAACCCGGTGTGCCGGCGCCGCAAGGTGGAGGATTAGCCTATTGAGCCACGGCGCCGGCTTGTTTTCACTTTTCTAACCGAGCTCATCCTGCCCGCTGGGGAGTGGGGCTGGCGGGACTCGCTCCTCACTCCTCCCACTCCGGCAGGCGGCAAGGCCGGGGCGTGGCTTCCCCGTTCACCGAGAGTGGGGTGAGGGAGGAAGGGTTCTGTTCACTTGTTTGCTTTTTTATTTTCTTTGGTCAAGATTCCTCGGAGGAGACCCCCCCTGCCGCTCAGAACTTCGTCATTCCCAAGAAGGAGATCCACACGGTTCCGGACATGGGCAAGTGGAAGCGCTCGCAGGTACCAGTGGGCTCTGCATGGGCCGGCCAGAACCAGGGCGAGGAGCGTGGGCCTCCTCAGACACATTGGTCTCCAGGCGTGACTGGGTAGTGAGCTCCTGGCTGTGTTTGCTTTTGGAGCCTGGGGGGGGGGGGGGGAGAGGGGAGAGGGGAGGAAGTACGCCCTGTCACTCAGGGGTAGCGCGCAGACGGGCCTGGTCAGGCGGGTCTCGGGCCGGCCCTGGGGAGTCGTGTCCAGGTTCTCAGGAGCCAGTGTCCTTTGAGTGTCAGTGATGGGGGGCGGGTGTCACCTTGGTGCTTGGTTGCAAGTGATAGCAAGTGTGGGAGCCACGGAGGGGTGATGTCGTGGAAGTGGTGGTGAGGGGGCGCGGCTGAGCACACACGTGGCACGGGGACCCGGAGCCCTGGGCGGCAGTTTGGTTTTCCTTGCTGTGCTGCCCAAAGGGTGGGCAGAAGATAACGGCTCGTGCCTCGCGGGCGTCTGGTACAGGCCGTGGGGAGCCCGGGGCTGAGACCAGAGAAGCCGCTTGCAGATTCGCAGGGTGGGCTCTGGGCCGGCTGCGGTGAGACGCCCCGCGCCGGGGCCCTCAGGTGGAGATCCTCCGTGAGGAGATGCTGGGCCGACACCGAGCCCGGACCTTGCAGCCCTGTGGCTGGCCTCACGGCCCTGGAGGTCACGAGAGCCCGTCTGGCTCCTTCCCAGCCTGCGCACGGAGCCAGGGAGCGTCTGTAGATGGATGGTTATCGCGCCCTGCCAGTCCTCCTCAGGACACACACGCGGCCTCACACGCGGCCCCAGGCCTTGCGTCATTGCGGTTGCGCTCCCTGTTTCTCAGTCCAGCCCTGCGTCATTGCGGTTGCGCTCCCTGTTTCTCAGTCCAGCCCCAGTGACAGCTGAGGGATGGCTCTCTGTGTAGGGGCCTCCTGTGCGTAGTCGCCTCGGGTGATGTCCGTGGCCTCCACCCACTAGGTGCCAGCAGCACCCCTTGCCCCAGGTGCCACAGCCACAGATGTCCTCAGCCGAGGGCTCCCTGTTGCGGCCGCCGCCTCCCGAGCCCGCCTGTGTTTGCAGACGCGATGCTGCCCCAGCTCTGCTCCTTGCATCCGTCCGGAGAGGGACGGCAGACGTGGCCGCAGCGCGGGCCAGGGCCAGCCTTGCTGGGCCGAGGGCGGCTGTGGACAGTACTGGGCGCTAGAGGAGTGTTTAGTGGTTTGCTTCTCGCCTCGCCTGCCCTGGCGGCCACAGGTCAGGGCTGAGGAGAAGGGAAGGGGTCAGGGAGAGGCCGGGGCTGCGGGTGGACGGGGTGGGGGAGCCCCTGCCCGCACAGCCGCCTTCCAGGGCCCGCGCTCAGGCCTCTCTTCACGCTCAGTTTTCATGAGCCTGTTTTGTGTTTGTTTTTGTTTTAATTTTTAAAAATGTATTTGGGAGACAGAGCTCTTGTCCGCTGGGTCACTCCCTAAATGGCCCCAACAGCTGGGGCTGGGCCAGGCTGAAGCGAGGGTCCAGGAGCTCAGTCCAGGGCTCCCGTGAGGGTGCAGGGCCCAAGCACTAGGGCCATCCCAGCTGCCTCCCAGGGTGTGCGTGGGCAGGAAGCCGGCTCGGAGAGCCAGAGCCAGGACGCAAGCCCAGGCGCTTGGGTGCAGGGCGCTGTTAACTGAGCACCGAGCGCTTCCTCGCCCTGTGCTGGGGTGACCTGCAGCCTGGCGGGCGGGGGAGTGCCCAGGTAGCATCTGGCGTGGGCGTGCTCGGACAGGCAGCTCCCCTGGGAGCCGGACAGCGAGCCTCTGGGAGAGGCGGGGCAGCAGCCGATGGCTGGGAAGGTGTTCCCTGGACCCCTGTGGTGTAGCACAGTGGTCAGGCACTGGCCACTCAGCTTTGTGGGCAGACTGGCCGAGTCCTCGCTCCACGTCGTACGAGGGCTTGGTCTCGGGAGGCCCTGAGCAGATCTCTCCTCGTGGAGCCTCGGTTTCCGCATCTGTTCACTGGGGGCAACAGCAGCGCCCGCACGCGTCCCACGGGGGGAGGGGTGTGCAGAGCACTGCGGGGGCCGGGCATTGTTGCTGGGGGCTTGACGTCCTCACTTCTGTGTGGCAGGCGTACGCGGACTACATCGGGTTCATCCTCACCCTCAACGAAGGCGTGAAGGGGAAGAAGCTGAGCTTCGAGTACAAAGTCTCCGAGGTAGGCACAGGCGGGGAGCCGGGCGCGGCCGCTCCGTGGGCCGCGTGGGGCCGGGCGCAGCCGCGGAGGCTCAGGTGTTTGGGTCTGTGGACAGCTGGGCACTTACAGAACTGGTGCAGGCGAGTGTCTCTCCAGGAGTCTGCCCTTCGCTGGTCGCTGTCTTGATCTGCCTTTGGGAACGTGAGGAGGTGACAGAGGACGTGCGCCTGCTGGAGATGCCCCGGTGGAAGTGCGTGTGGCCTCGGCAGAGGCCGGCCCTGCGGCAGCGCGTGCGCTCGGGCTGTGCCCCCGTTTGTGTGAATCGCCCGAGAGTGCGGCTGGGACCCTGGGCACGGCTGCCCTGCACACGTGTTGTCCTGGCTCTGCTCTCTGGTCTCCTGGGGGCTCCTCTCGGGCCCAGGCGTGCCACGTTCAGGGTGCTGGTCTCCTGGGGGCTCCTCTCGGGCCCGGGCGTGCCACGTTCAGGGTGCTGGTCTCCTGGGGGCTCCTCTCGGGCCTGGGCGTGCCACGTTCAGGGTGCTGGTCTCCTGGGGGCTCCTCTCGGGCCCGGGCGTGCCACGTTCAGGGTGCTGGTCTCCTGGGGGCTCCTCTCGGGCCCGGGCGTGCCACGTTCAGGGTGCTGGTCTCCTGGGGGCTCCTCTCGGGCCCGGGCGTGCCACGTTCAGGGTGCTGGTCTCCTGGGGGCTCCTCTCGGGCCTGGGCGTGCCACGTTCAGGGTGCTGTGTCCTTTGCCTTTGGGTTCACGCTTGCTCTCTGGCTGCTGCAGAGACTGGTGTCAGCGTGGGGAGGCCAGGTCTTGGAGCTCGTGAGTGCAGGGCGTAGCGTGGGCCGAGTCCCAGCGCTCCAGTGGCCTCTTGGGTTTGTGTCCCAGTTGGCCCTGAGCCACCTGGAGCCTCTTATCTCTGACGCGAGGGCGTGAGCGGCCTCTCACGGCTTGACCCACCCAGCCCTGTAGCCACGGCCTGTTGGGTAAGAGCTGGCCCTGCCCTGGCCCAGTTTTGCACCTGTCCCCAAAGGCTTTGTTCCCAGAGCCCTCGTACCCAGCGCCAACGCGGCTGCCTCTTCCCTCCCTCTCTGGCCCCCACATGCCGAGGCCCCGTTCTGCCATGTGAGGGGAGCGAGCCCTCCTCGGGCCTCTAGGCCTCCTCTTGGGCCAGGCTGGAGCTCTGGGGTGGTGACGGGGGAGAGGGGCTCCTCAGAGAGGACGTTGCAGTGACCTCAGCACCTGCTTGGCTGCCCGGTCCCTTTCTGGTCCGTGGTGTCCCTGAGGCCTCGTGTAAACGGGCCCAGCGCCTTGCTGCTCTGGCCGAGTCACAGGTGCCGTCACACACCTGAGACTGACGCACACCACTTAGGGGACGAGTGACCTCGTGCCCTTTGAGCCTGTGCCCCCCTCGCTGGCCCCAGGGGAGGAGGCGGAGACCCCGCCTCAATGCCTTTCTCGTGTCAGCTGTTGCTGACCCCGCCCTCATTGGGGAGGCACTTCCGGAGCTGGAGTTAGTGCGGGCAGCAGAGCGGTGGGCGGCGGGCAGGGAAGCCTGGCCTGGTCTCTAGAGTCTTGCAGATGCTGCCCACAGGGCGTGGGCGTGGGCGTGGGCGTGGGCGTGGGCGGCTCGCAGCACAGCCGCGCTGCCTCCTGCGGCCCGCCGGGGCTGGGTGCGAGGCCCGGCTCCCCCCGCCAGTCCGCTCAGCGCCGCAGCTCTGTCCAGACCGGTGCTGAGGCTCTCCAGGCCTGCTGCTGGCTCACTGCTGCCTCCTACTCTTGAGAGTGACAAATTTCAAGTTTTTGGGAAAAAGCTGATGATAGATAGGGTTATTTTTGTTATGGTTCTGTTTGATAAAAAGTTGGCTGGTGAAAATTCAGGGGTGATTTTCCGGGGCTCTGAGGCTCGGGCGTGGGGAGATGATGCTCCAGCCGCTTCCTCCCCAGCCCCCCAGCAGACAATAGCTGTGGCTTGCCCTGGGCGGAGGCCTGGGCCTTTAATTGTTCATTGGTCCAGCTGAGCCCACAGCTGGGGCCTGGCTCCCGCTGGCCCTGGAGCCGAGTCTCCGGGGAGTCGGGGCTCGCTGGTGCGTGCTGGGCCTGGCTGCCCGCGTCAGTCTTCGTCAGCCCAGCTGCTGCGCCAGGTCCGGCTTGGGTGCCCGTGTCAGCGGCTGCTGGTGGCCTGGCGTGGGGAGCCGGGCTGTGGCAGCATCTGGCGTCATGCAGCCCTGCCGCCTGCGGTGACGGGGCAGGGGAGAGTCCTCCTGCAGGCACCTGCCCATGCTCCCGTGCCCTGGGCACAGGCGGGGGGCACGCGGCGGGCAGCGCCAGTTACACAGCCTGTGCGGGCCTCGGGCCTGCCGCCCGCCCTGTGGTGAGCCTGCTTCTCCCCCTCCGGGCGCCTTTTTCTGTGGGCCTCACCCTGCTGCCTCCTCCCCGCGTCAGGATTTTCTGGAAGTTTTTCCTTGTAGCCTTCATTCTTGGAACACGGGCGAGATCTGCTTCCCTGCAGGGCCCCTCTTGCCGGGACTGCCTTCCCGCCAGCGTCTCCTCCAGGCCCTTCCCAGAGCGGCGCGTCCCGCCCGCCCCCAGCACCCCTGAGGTCCCACGCAGCGTCTGGGGCGTTGAGCCACCCCCACCTGCGACACCAGTTCCCTTCCCATTCCTGGTGGCCCAGCACCCAGCTCTCCACAGGGTCGGCTGCGGGAGGACCCACGCCGGCCCCCTCGTTAAGGGCTGGCGGGAACTCCTGCTCCCATGTTGTCCCCGTGAGCAGGTGCCGTGCGTGGCAGTTGCGGGGGCCTGCGGCTGCGCATCCCCAGCCCGTGCTCAGGGAGCTCAGGTCTCTTGCATGTGGTCTCATGGCGACTGCAGGGCGTTCACGCAGGACCAGGACCCAGGCCCGTGGCCTTCAGCCTACTACGACACTCGGGCCTGTGCCAGGGCTGGCGGGGCCGCACCCCTGATGGGTGGCGTCCCGAGCTCGGCACCAGACCACGTGCGACCTGGGCTGGAGCCGGTGGTTGTCCAGTGCCTCCTGGTAGGCCGGCCAGAGACACCCCGGCCCGGCCCCTCAGCCTCGTGTTCGTCCTGCTCTGAGCCGCCTTCATTTTCAGGACAGCTAGGAAGAAACGGGGAAAGCGGGGAGAGCAGCCAGTCCGTGCCGGCCTGGGTCCCCTCGGGCAGGGCCTGGCCCCCCGCCCTGGGGTCCACTAGTGACAGGGCCTGGCCCCCCACCCTGGGGTCCACTAGTGACGGGGCCTGGCCCCTCGCGCTTCGCCTCCACAGGCCGTAGAGAAGCTGCTGGCCCTCCTGGACACGCTGGACCGCTGGATCGATGAGACCCCGCCCGTGGACCAGCCCTCTCGATTCGGGAACAAGGCCTACAGGACCTGGTACGCCAAGCTCGATGAGGTGAGGCTGCCGCGGGCCGGCGCGGCGCTGCCGAGAGCAGGTGTCTGGAGCCCTGCATGTCCGGGTCCCAGGTGCAAATTTGCGAGTCAGCCACCAGATCCAAGTGCTCGTAACTGCCCCGCCATCGGCGGGGACTGCGGCTGCGCTGGCGCCGCTCTCGGCACGGGGCTGACACGGGGCTGTCTGTCCAGGGGCTGGTGGGGGCCGTTAAATAAAGCCGTCCATCCACACTGGACAGCCATGCAGCCGCGGGAGAGGACGAGGGGGCTGTGTGGGGAACTCGTGGGAGGACTCGCTGACCTGCCGTCAGGACAGAGGGGCCAGGGGCCAGTGGCTGTGGTGAGCCACCGTTTGCTCAGGGACCTCGGTGGGAGGACCCGGGGGCTCCCTCAGCCGGAGCAGGTGTTACCTGCTCAGACGGACACGGAAATGCAGGATGGCAGCCCCTCCGTGGGAAAGCAGTGTGGGCGCAGGTCAGGCCTGGGGGGCCAGACCCCCACCGCTTCTAGGACACTCTCGGGTCAGCTCAGTCCTAGTGCTGGGCGCACCGTGGGCAGTGAGCGGAGGGGAGGGGGCGCGCACGTGCACAGGCACACACGCACACGCCCTGCCTGGGGCAGCCTGCGGGCTTGCGACAGCCTAGTCCTCTTGAAGATCTGGTGGCCTGTAGCAGAGGTGGCTGGCGAAGCAGAGCCGCAGCGTGGATCTCCAGGCTTTCAGCCGCACGCTGCCCCCCGTGTCAGGCCGTAGACATTCCAGTGCTCCTGCAGGGCCCTCGTGTGCCCTCCCAGACTCGTCTGGTTTCCATCCCTAAGTTGATTTTGTTTTTGAACCTGACGCGTGTCTCAGACCCAGGCGGTGGTCCTGTGACGCCACAGGTCTGGCTCTCTGCAGTGTGGACTCCACCGTGTATACGGCACAGGTCTTCATTGCCCGTGATGGGCTTTTCCGCGGGTCCCACCCCTCGGCTTCTCGGAACACCCTGGCGTGTGTCTCTGGGTAGACTCAGGGCGCCAACCCAGCTGCCGCGGGACAGTGGTCCCGAGCCCCAGTGAGTTCCCAGAGGGAGAGCTGAGGGGTAGCTCTCCCGACCCCCCTCCACGCTCCCCCTCCCCCCGCCGCCACCTGTGCCCTGGAGGGAGGGGTGCGCGGGACAAGCTGCTGCGTGGAGCCAGCTCTCTGCCTGCCCCTGTGGCCCGGCAGAGCGGGGAGCCAGGCCAGACGCTGCCGAATCTGCCGCGGCCACCTGGTGTCTCTTGTTATCAGGAAGCAGAGGGCTTGGTGGCCGCCGTGGTGCCCGCCCACCTGGCAGCTGCTGTGCCGGAGGTGGCCGTGTACCTGAAGGAGTCCGTGGGCAACTCCACGCGCATCGACTACGGCACAGGTAGCTGCCGCTCGCAGGCCCTGCCTGCTGGTGGGGGCCGCATGTTGCTCAGGGCCCCCGTGGGTGGGGGCGTGGCGGTGTGGGCGGCCTGGAGCCGCGGCCCTCGGCCTGGTCCACCAGGGGGCGCCGGTGCCGCAGACGGTGCTGCCTGCATGCACAGCGCTGACAGCGCACGTCACCCGGGCGATCTCTCGCTGGCTGCGCCTCGGGCAGCTGCTGGCGGACGGCCTGAGGGAGAGCTTCTTGCTGACCACTGCAGCCTCGTGTGCACTCCCCTGGCCCCTCCCTCTTTTTTAAAGATCTTACAGTATTTTGGAAGGCAAAGGTGCAGAGATGGGGAGAGAGAGATGTGCCAGCACACAGTCACTGCCCAGATGACCCCCACAGCCAGTGCTGGAGCAGGCCTGCGGGTCTCCCACAGGGGGCCGGGGCCCAAGCACGTGGGCCATCCTCTGCTGCCCTCCCCGGCACCTCAGCAGGGAGCTGGATCGGACATGGGGCGGCCGGGACTTGAACTGGGATGCCGACATCGAAGGCAGTGGCTTACCCAGCTGCGCCACAGCCACGGCCCCGCCCTTGTCTCTTCGTCTCTTTGGCTGTGCTCTTGAGCTCTGGCGCTGTCGTCCAGGCCAGCCTGGCTGAGAGGGATGCGTGGCCCCGGCCAGGGCGGCCCTGTTTGCAGGGCTCACCTTCCTTTCCGTCTGGGGAGGTGGCGCACAGGCCCTCTTGCAGCTGGGGCCTGGGAAAGCTCTGTCCCCTGCCGATGGGGCCAGGTCCAGCAAGCAGGGAGCCAGAGGGGCCCGGGGAGGCGGGGCAGTGGCGATGGCCGCTCGCTGCTGCAGCCGCAGCTCTCTGGGCCTGCCCGGCTCTGCCGCTGGCCCTCCATGCGGGGCCAGCCGCTCCTGCTGGGTGCGTCCTGGGAAGGAAGGCGGGGCTCTTCCTCCTCGTTGCCAGCGCGTGCCGCCGTTGCTGCTGGCAGCCACGCTGGGCTCTCCGGGTGACGGCGACGGCTGAGCCTGGCGTGGCTGACGTGATAGTGGCCCTGATGCAGCGCTGGTGTGTGTCCACACGGGCGACGCCCCGCAGCCCCAGCCTGCTTCTTCTGCAGCTCTCTTCCCGGCCTCGCTCCCGGTTTTATTAGTGGTCTCCATCCGACTCCTTAGGGAAGGGACAGGTGTGCGTGTGTGGGCTCTGCCCCGGCACCTGGGATTGGACAGTCTGTGAGCAGACACGGTGCGGGAGTCGGGTGTAACGCCTGTCTTCCCTGCGGGGTCGGAGGTCGGAGTGCCCACGTAGCAGGTGCAGTGGGTAGGGTGGGGCGCCTGGGACGCCTGCGCCGTGTCGGCTGCTTTGCTTCCCGGGAGCACTGGCGGGCGGCCGCAGTGGTGGCTGAGACCGGCCCTGCCTGCCATCCATGCAGGAGGTCGGATGGAGCTCCTGGCCCTGGCCTCGGCCTGGCCCGGCTCTGGCTGCCGTGGGCATTTGGGCAGTGAACCAGCGGATGGAAGGCTCCTCTCTCACTCTGCCTTTCAAGGGAAAATTACGTAAAACTTTATTTCTTTTATTTGTTTGAAAGAGTGACAGAGGCACAAAGAGCTCCTTCATCGACTGGTTCCTCTCGCACTCCCAGCAGGGAGCTGCATCGCAAGGGTGGCTCGAATGGGTGCTCTGACGCGGGGAGCAGGCGTCGTGGGTGGCAGCTTATCCCTCTGCACCACAAAGCCCGCCCCAGGCTGGAGAACACTGAGAGGGGCACACCGTGGCGCAGTGGGTAAGCCGCTGCCTGCAGCGCCAGCATCCCGCTCGGGCGCCAGTTCCAGTCCCGGCTGCTCCACTTCCTGTCCAGCTCCCTGCTAATGCACCTGGGAGAGCAGCAGAGGACGGCCAAGTGCTGGGCCCCTGACCCACGTGGGAGACCCGGAGGCAGCTCCTGGCTGTGACCTGGTGTTGTGACCATTTGGAGAGTGAACCAACGCATGGAAGATTCTCTCTCCCTCTCTCCCTCTCCTCCTCTCCTTCTCCCTCTCTGTCTCCCTCTCTCCCTCTCCCTCTGTATCTCTGCCTTTTGAATAAATTGAATCCTTAAGAAGGAATACGTAGAGAGGAGTCGCTGAGTGGTTTGATGAGCCAGCCAGCTACGTCTAAAGGCCCATTGGGGAAGTCAGCGGCCCGGGCCCCGGAGGAGGCAGCGGGTGGTCCTGGGCTGGCTGCAGGGCCTGGTTCTTTCTGGACGGGAAAGCAGCCCCAGTGCCTTGGCATCAAGCCCCCTCCCAGGGCCGCTGACCTGTGACGTGGGCTCGGGGAGAGCAGGGTCAGTCACGGCTCTGTTTGTGGAAGACTCAGCGTGGCCGTGGCCGTGGCCGTGGCCGGTGTCTCTCCCCAGGGCACGAAGCAGCCTTTGCCGCTTTCCTGTGCTGTCTGTGCAAGATCGGGGTGCTGCGCGTGGACGACCAGATAGCCATCGTCTTCAAGGTCTTTAACCGGTGAGGCGCGGCCGAGACTCCTGCCGGGTTTGGGCTCACCCCCAGGGACAGGCGCGCGGCCCAGAGGCTGTTGGTGCTCACCGGGGTCTGTGTGGGAGACACCAGGCTGGCGTGGCCTCAGTGGCCTGGTGTGGGTGCAGCAGGTCTGTGTGGGAGGCACTGGGCTGGCGTGGCCTCAGTGGCCCGGTGTGGGTGCAGCAGGCCTGTGTGGGAGACACCGGGCTGGCGTGGCCTCAGTGGCCTGGTGTGGGTGCAGCAGGCCTGTGTGGGAGGCACCGGGCTGGCGTGGCCTCAGTGGCCCGGTGTGGGTGCAGCAGGCCTGTGTGGGAGACACCGGGCTGGCGTGGCCTCAGTGGCCCGGTGTGGGTGCAGCAGGGTTGTGTGGGAGGCACCGGGCTGGCGTGGCCTCAGTGGCCCGGTGCGGATGCAGCACGCCTGTGTGGGAGACACCGGACTGGCATGGCCTCAGTGGCCCAGTGGTAACAGGTGCAGCACGCCTGTGCGGGAGACACCGGGCTGGCGTGGCCTCAGTGACCCAGTGGTAACGGGTGCAGCAGGCCTGTGGTGGAGCCCAGGGACGGGGCTGCCATCTCTGGGGACCTTAACAGTTGGAAGTGGAGGGCAGAGGAGAGGCAGTGCTCCCATGGGGAGCCCAGGTCTTGGGGCTTTCTGCGGCTTTGTGCTCCTGGGTAGGCGTGGCCTCGGGGCACCCAGGCTGTCTTACTGTTGGCTCTCTTCCTTCTCCCCTCCGTGTAGGTACCTTGAGGTTATGCGGAAGCTCCAGAAAACCTACCGGATGGAGCCCGCCGGCAGCCAGGGGGTGTGGGGCCTGGACGATTTCCAGTTCCTGCCCTTCATCTGGGGCAGCTCCCAGCTGATAGGTACGGGGGCGGGGTGGGGGGCACCGCTCCTCCCAGTTGTCCTGCTTGCAAAGCAGGCACCGCACTGGCTGGGCTGCCGGGAAGTGATGCGGGCTGGAGCAGGGCCGTGCGCCTGGTGTGTGACAGCCTGGCGGGAGGCGCGCTCAGCTCCGGGCAGCGTCGTCCACTGTTGGCAAGCAAGGGGCCCCTCGGGAAGCTGCCGCCTAGGGCCGGGCACCGGGCCCGCCCGTGTGGGCTCAGGTGCGCCTGCCTGCTGGCGCCCTCCCACCTGGGGGCTCTACCAGAGGGTGGGGTGGGTGGCGCTGCGCCCGGCGCTGTCCTCAGGTCTCCTTGGCGAAGCCCTGGGAGGGTCCCTGCCGGCACAGCCGGAGGGAGGCAGAGCTGGGCGGAGCTTGTGAGCGCTCAGGGCCCCTTAGCCCGGCGGAGTGTGAGCGCTGTGTGCTGGGGGCTGCGCCTCTGCGAGCGTCCTGAACACGCGGGGCACTCCAGGACCTTCACGGCAAGCGGCATCAAAGATCAGTTTATCTCGGCGCAAAAACGTCTGAAATCCACCCGCCGTATGTTTGTCATTGATACACATTTTCCGTGAGCTTTTTGAATCCCCCGTACCTCCACAAACCTCTGTGGTGTGGCCTGGTCGCTCGACAAGGCCGCCAGGTGCCAGCGAGGGACGCAGTCAGCCCGGGACGCCGAGCCCGCGGTGCAGGGGGTGGAGGGGTGCTCGCTGAGATAACCGAGCCGGCTCGGGCGTGGCGCACGCAGCACGGCACCGAGGCTGTGGCTAGGTGTGCCGGGCCCCGTGACCTGCCGCAGTGGTGCCCATGGGTACGTGGGTGCGTGGACAGGACCCTGGCCCGGCCCGGCCCTTGGGTGGGTCCCCCTGCCCGGCCCCGTGCCCAGGGCGGGGCTGGGAGGCTCCGATCCTGAGGCCCAGGGCTTCTTGCTCTTCCCAGACCACCCGTTCCTGGAGCCCAGGCACTTTGTGGACGAGAAGGCCGTGAACGAGAACCACAAGGACTACATGTTCCTGGAGTGCATCCTGTTCATCACCGAGGTGAGGGCCGCAGGGCTGGCGCCGGGGTGGACGCTCACGGAGCCCTGCTCGGCCTCTCCAGAAAGCTCCCACCAGCTCTGCCTGGCCAGGACCTGCCCCCCAAACCTAGTGTCTGTCCTGAACCCCCCGGGGCCCCTGGGCAGGGCTCAGACACAGTCCCCAGCTGGCCTTGCCGAGGGGTGGGCGTCACGGGGGGTGTGTTCCAGGCAGGGCCCCGCGGCCGGCGGTGGGATGATCCCGCGGGAGCTGCCAGGGTGGAGGGTGACGGCTGCAGGCCCAGCGGCCGCCTGGCGACAGGGCAGCTTCCCCCGGAGCATGGTCTGCCCCTCCAGCCTCCGAGTCAGACGTGGCGTCAGGACCGGAGAGCTGGGCACCGTCTGCTCCCGGTGCCTCTGGTGGTGGGAGTGGGCTGTACACACACACCACACACCGCACACACACACTGCACACACACACTGCACACCACACACACACACACCGCACACACACCCACACACTGCACACACACACCGCACACACACACCGCACACACACACACACACCGCACACACACACACACACCGCACACACACACACTGCACACCACACACACACACCGCACACTGCACACACACCGCACACACACACCGCACACACACACTGCACACCACACACACACACTGCACGCACACACTGCACACCACACACCGCACACACACACACTGCACACACACACACTGCACACCACACACCACACACACACACTGCACACCACACACCGCACACACACACTGCACACCACACACACACACTGCACACACACTGCACACCACACACCGCACACACACACACACCGCACACACACACTGCACACCACACACACACACTGCACACACACACACTGCACACCACACACCGCACACACACACCGCATATACATACTGTACTCTATATTCATGCTCTGCTCACACACACAATGCATACCACTTACTTCACATTGTACACACCGCTGACTTGCACTGTAGTGCACAGAATGCACTCGGTTTGTAACATCGCTCTGTTTAATCATTTTTGCACACTGCGCAAACACGGTGCATATATGATTTGCACTAGTTTCTCCTTTCTGCTAACTCTTCATTTTAACTACACTTTTTGTGGATGTTTGAAGGAATTTAGACCCGATGATCGACGTATAGCTTTTGGACATTTTAGAGGGTTAGAATCTTGTATTTATAAT